GCCACGTCAGCCCCATCAACCGCCACGGCTCGCCCGCCCTCGGCGTCCTCACCGCCGTCGTGATGCCCCACCACGGGCCGGAGCAGCAGGCCCTGCAGCCGCACCAGGTAGCTCTGCCCCTGCGCCGGCTGCGGCCCCACGTACCGGCTCACAACCGCCTCTCCGCCGCTGCTGCCCGAGGGGCGGTCCTGCTGCAGCATCTCGCTGCTGGAGCGGATGCCGTTGAGCGCGCTCAGGTCCAGGTTGGGGAACACCGAGCAGCGGCAGCGCGGGCACTTGACGTTCAGCCGCAGCCACTGGTCGATGCACTCCACGTGGAAGTTGTGCGCGCAGGGGAGCCCCCGCACCTCGTTGCCCACCTTGAACTCCTCAAGGCAGATCGGGCACTCGCTGCAGTCCGTCGGCACCGCCTTCAGCATGAACTTTGGGAGCTCCTGGATCAGAGCCTCCACCGCCTCTCTCTGAATGAAGCACCACAGCAAAAATAGCACATTTAGACGCATTCTTCTTCTCGTCCATGTGAATTACTACACCTATTTAATTTGAGTGAGCGACTCACCTGGGCTGCTGTCAGATAAAGGCCAGGATGGTATGCAGTGTCCTGGCCCATTCCTCTCAGTTCCAAGCCGACCGCCTCAAATGCCCAGTCAGGCACACGGATCATGTCAACCAAAACCTGCACACCACACACATCAACCTAACATTAATTATGCCGTCACCGCCATATTATCTTCCTACTGCTAGAAATAAGGTAGCTTAGCTAGCTCTAGTGTAGATTTGAATTTGAAACTTGCGTGCTGAGGCATAATATGTAATCCTGACTGCTTTGAACATGCTGAACAGAAGAATATGGATAAAGATTCATGACAATTTGATCTGATACATTTAAGCTTCTAATGTTGACAGATCACTTCCTACATCCAACGTCAGCACAGAAATAAACGGAAACATTACCCCATATTCAGAGACCGGAATCCCCTGTTGTGCCCTCAGTTGGAGTGCATGCCTTCGGTTTAGCCACTGCCACGTAAATAAAAACATGGAAAATATGAGGTTCCACTGATAACTACTACTTCCGTCCGGAAATACTTGTCGTAGAAATGGATACAAATGGGTGTATCTAGAACTAAAATACATCTAGATACATCCATTCCTTGGACAAGTATTTCCGGACGGAGGGAGTATAACAGAAAGTTTAGCCAGCACAATCATGGCCACTGGTGTCTACACATCAGTTTGTCTTGTGCAAATACAAAGAACACTCGACAGATTCATAATGTTTTTAGTAACTGGATATGATACTAACTGATGCAAATTAAATTTGAACACTCCGATGTTGAATTGGCAACTCAGTACACGCATCAAGCACAAGCTTAATACCTTCAATTCAAACGGCGATAGACATGAATGTCACTGCAGCCAAGTAATACACAAGCAGGCTAAACTAACTAAAATAGTCTATGAAGAGCATATGCTAAAGCTAAATATTGCCATCCTTTGTATAATAATCATGTGTAAGCGGCACTTCAATAATATTTTGACCGCGTGCACGCTTTGATTTTGTATGGACAAATTATGCAGCAGTACCTTTCCAACAGCCACGCATGCAATACAGGCGAGCCCACAGTAACTGAAAAGCAGCCATATCAGGAAGCCCCATTTTTGTCCTTCCTCTGGCAACTGTACATGGAGTGAATGTGCAGTGAGTAGCAAGTCTCTCCATGTATATATGGTGATAGTAAAATTTGCTTACACAATAAAGAACTTACGCAGCTCCTTGCACTGTTAAACCACAATGTTCCTATCACAGTCCAAACCCACAGGAAGGGATACAGAAGAAGAACAAGGACTGAGAGAACAACTATCCTCCCACAGAAACGAGTATATCTCTGTTGCCATCCAAGATCCCTGCAATTTGTTACAGAAAAATGTCACTGATGTACAGCAAGGTTTACTATCCAGTTCTCTTGGAAAAGGAGAGAGATAGAGAGCTGGAATCTTAAAACACCAACATAAGACCCCCTACAATAGGCAGAGTACCATCTGCTGTTGTAGAAAATTGTTTTGTCTTAAAGACTGCCAAATGCGTCAAAAGAAACGGCGTGTCCTGTTTTATTGAATATTATTACTATTGCCATGGAATTCTACCGCACGATGTAACTCTAATTACAGAACCATAAACACCCACAGCCCACAGCTAACTCTTAGTTTCTTCAGAAATACTACCTCCGTTCCAAAGTACTTCCTCCGTTCCGAATTACTTGTCGCGGGTATGGATGTATCTAGATGTATTTTAGTTTTAAATACATCCATTTCTGCGACAAGTAATTTGGAACGGAGGGAGTAAGTGTCATGGTTTACGATCAAGTTTGAACTAATATTTTGGAATGGAGGGAGTATTTGAAGACACAGTTCTGTTTGAATCAAAAATTAAGGTATCCCCAAAACCAGATTATGCAAAACGCTGGTGTTGTGCTATGTGTTTGAAATTAATAATGTGAAAAATGCTCAAAGACACTAACATTACTATCTCTGGTTAATGATGCCACCATAATATGTAGTGTGTCATGTGGGTGGCTCCTCCACAACTGGCGGAATATTCAGAGGGTTATGACCGTGGTTAAGTAATGAACATGCCAATAAGTCATGAGGTATACTTGGAGGCTATATTCAGTCAGTCGGATCATTTAGAAAGGAACAAATCAGTACTGTGTCCCCCTACTCTAGTAGTTAGTACATGAATCTTGACCTATGTTCCTCGCACACATACACAAAATCCACAAGAATGCATCTGTTTAATTATGTCCTGTTTTATCCCATATGTTGTTACTACTGTCACGGTATTCTACCGCACAGTGCAACTTTAATTATAAAGCCATACACTCTCACAGCAAACTCTAATTATGTTAAAAATAATAATTCAAGATCAAGTTCTGCTTGAATAAAAAAGTCATAAGGTACCCAAAAGAATCAGATTATGGAAAACATTGGTGTTGCCCTATGGTGACGCTTGGAAATAAGGCAGTAACTAGGCCAAAATAATGTGTACAACGCTCAAAGACGCTAACGATGCTAGCTCTGTATGCACTGTGGCTTCCTCCAAAATTGACAGACTATTCAGAGGGTTATGGCCATTAAATTTGGGATAATACTAGTCTGACATATCCA